AATGGTGACTGTCTCCACCGTTATTCTAAGACTATTACTGTCCTTCATGCTACTCTCGCTTCCTCTTTTAAGCATGATGCATATCTCTGTCTTGTAGTGCTAATGTCGTTGAATTAGGTTCTTTTCCAATGTTTGATAATCCGTTGCTGATTATAATATTTAGAAATTGACTAATAAGAAAAAGTCATTTTCAGATATTTCATGAATTTATTGTTTTAATTTATTTTTTTTCCAAAAAATGAGGCTTTGAGAAATGTTACAATGATAACTATTGAATCAAACAATCCAAATCATTAAACTTAAACCTCAATAATTTTTCTATTTGCTAGTTTTTCGTACTTTTACTTTTTGTTGCTGACGTATTGACGTGTGACTCGAAAGTAACAAATGGTTCATAAAGAATTGTTCTGTTAGTATTATTTTTAAAATGCTTCCTCTATTCTTCACTCAATTGAAATACCTATTTTTTCAAAAAACAGTGCTTGTAATTCTCTACAAAGATATACATATATTCTAGAGTCTAAAGCTTGTTTTACACATATTTGAAAAAAGATGAAAAGTAAAGACATGTAAACAACTATAATATATATATATACAAAATTGTTTATAGGTTAGGGCAAGTCTCTTTTGATTTGAGCCAAGTGATTTTCTTGCAAACAATTCAACTTTGAATAAAAATTGAATAGCAACGCTAGCTCTAGCATTTTATCATGCTTCCCTAGTCGTCCGTGCACATTTCAGATAAATGTCAATATTTCGACGGTAAAATTGAGACCGTGTCAGAAAGAAAGTTGCTTGTTGGAAAATAGAATATATCACTGGTATTCAGGAATATGGCGAACTAAGAAATTTGAAACGGGTGCAAGAGAAATTTTTTGAAAGCTGAAAAAATGCATATAAAATTTTTTTTCAAAAAGAGAAGCACACACTTTATTTTGTTCATGCAACGATTATTTTTCGATAATAAGAACAATTTTTGTTGAAAGAAAAAGTGAAAATTTTCTCAAAGTGGTGAAGGCGTGCAGTTCTCGTTGCTACATAGTTGCTGATATGATATCGAGATCTAGATTTTTGGGTGCATGAGAAGGTCCGAGGCTGACCACGACTGAACTTCATCGAAGCAAGTAGTTAATATGAAAAATGGAGGATAGAAAAATATGTTAGATCTCAAACGCTTTACTTGAGTCAAAATAATGATATTTCGATCATTTTTCTGTATTTGTCCCAACGCCAATTACATTTGATCTAAAAAATGCAGAAGCCTATATTTATTAAATAAAGTATAACATATTGTGCAGAATTTCAAGTGGTACCTTTTCATAAAAAATGTGTTTCCATTGAGGAAAGAACATAAATAAACGGATTCCAAATACTAACAATGCAATTCGTTATGGACCACTCATTAAAACTAATTCAGATAGGTATTGTACTAGCAGAGTCGATGAATTTGACTGAATTTACAAGTACTGAATAATATATTAATTATTGTCAACAAGTCATTTAAATAACAAGCCTTTTACGATTTTGTTGTCAAAAATCGAGTACTTGTATTTATTATCTATTTCTGTGAACATATTTTTATTTATTGACAATAGACGAAGATATTTCGTCAAGATTTATTCAACGAAATGCTTATGTATTCTATGCTTCATTATTGGTTTACTATTTGGCAGTATCGCTTTGGCCATTATCATAGCACTTTGGTTAACATCATCAGCAGGTGCAACAAATTCTATAGGTATGCTATAACATATAGATCATACAGTTGTATGTCAAAGAATTCGAATTGACAAAATTTTTTTGAACAAAAATCTTACATCACAAACGAAAAAAAAATGAAATTCTCCTGATACTTAGGAAGTCAAAATCTGTAAGCTTTTGTATATCGAAATGGTTCTCTAAAAATTTTCCAGTCGAAATGAAGTTAGTTTTCTAAAAAATATTTCCTTTTTTTTATCTTTTAGTATCAACAACAAATACAACAATCGCAAGTAAGTCTTTGTGATCGCTATGAATATATCACTAATATAATACAAACTTGTCGTTTTAACAATTCAAGCGACAGCAAGTGAGTAACAAAATTAATGTAGAGTAGATTATTTTCTTTTACAATTTGTTTGAAATAAGAAATAATTACCTTAATTTTACAATGGCTTTATCGAGATTATAAAACTCAAGATCATTTTGAATCTTATTTTCAATAAATAATAATGAATTGTGTGATTAGATAATTTATCTATTACTTTACTGAAATTTGTTTTTTTTTATTTTTTTTTTAAACAACATCAGTCACTGCAATTAGTACTACGGGTAAGCAAAGATAAAGATTTTTGAAAAAAACAAAGTTTTCTTTCTAAATATTTCATTTTACTTGTAAAGAACAAAATTTATGTTTATTAAAATCTTCGATATGTATTTTTTTTTATTCACTTAGCAACAACAACAAGTAGCACATCATCAAGTAAATTTTATTTAGTATGTCTCCTATCATCTATCGTTTGTCCTTTTCTCCTTTGTTAATAGCATCAACGTCAACTACATGTGAGTGTTTGCTTTCTATTAGGCTACTTTTTCCAAATGACTTGATGTGATATTTGGTTACTGTAAATTTCAAATATGTCTGAAAAAGAAAAGATAATTCTATTCTTTTACTCAAATACTTTGTTAACCATTCTAGCAACTAGTAGTACTAGTACAATAAGTGAGTTATATTTATTTTTATTCATTTTCTATAATTTGATTAATCAAAATTAACAGCAACAACTCCAACACCTCCATGTTCACCAACTTCTGTTGGCTCTGCAAGTACTCTTTATACAACATCATCTGGTAGTGGAACTTCTTACACATGTTTTTCCTATGCATGGACGTCACCTGCTACAGGTCTAGTTACTCTTGCCTTTGAATTCCGTCATGATCCAGATCACTGGTTTCTTGATGATGTGTCAGTATATGCTGGACCTGTTCAAATGTTGAATAATACAGGTTTTGAAACTGGTTCTCTTTCACCTTGGGTAAGAACAACACCATATGGAACATGCTCAGGAGTAGCAGGCTATGTGTGTAATAGTTATTCGCCTCGTAGTGGAAGTTATCATTTATGCGATGGGAGTAATGGATGTGCTGATCGAATTAGTCAACAATTTACGGCTACAACTGGACAAATCTATGTTGTGAGTTTTTGGTTAAAATCTGGTGCAACAGGTTCTACTATATCTGCAAAGGTTACTCTCTCGTAATTGATTTCAATAAGATAATTGAATTGTTTATGTTGATGCATCGTTTATAATTATCTCCGAATATAGACCGAACACCAAAATCATACTGCTGTTTTAGAATTTTTTTTGTTCTCTTGTAGAAGCTATTGAAATAATAAATCTTGTCAACAGTAGAAAATTTTTATTCAACATTATTTTCTAAAATATTAACTTGATTGTTCGATAGTTTCATTCAAAATTATGAAAAATAGTCTTTTTCGGTCTATTTTCTAATATGTATATGAGCAAGTAATGATAATATTCAAATACAATTTCACATAATGTATATCATCATTAATAATAAATCAAACTGTCAAATTTCATCATCAAAGATGAAGTTTTGCATACAAAACAAAGTATTCCACCTGAGGACAATTATTGATAGTTTTTATAAATTTTTCACGATCTGATTCAACGGTTTTTTGAACAATCATTAAAGTCATTATGCAGTGTTCCTCCTATAGTTGATGAGAAAAAAACAAAAACATATTATTCGTTGTTTGATTATTGTTGCATTGAGTTGAATAAAAGAAAACATCAGTACAATAATGAATAACCAAAATTCAATTACTTTTGACTTGATTGTGATTGAGAGAAGAAAAAACAAATGTATGAGAAATTTCTTCGGCTTCTTACTAATATAATTTACATAGAAGTATCTTTCGAACTTGAATGAAAGAAAACTTTTTTGAACTTTAAGTTTTTTCATTCAACTTTTTCATTTATGAAATAGTATTGGAAAAACTTGAGTTGTGAAGAATGAGGATGTTATTTGTTTTTGATTATTTAAAAATTAATTGAAAAAAAAAAATCGAAAAATTGAACTGAAAAATAGAAGTAACTTTAAGATATGTAAAATGACACGATCAACATTCACATAAAGATGAAAATGTCAACAAGATGTAAAAAATATGAAAAAATAAACTTCTTTTTCATATTATTGAGTGCATCAACAGATTGTAGTTCTCAGTTCATGTTAATGTGACCTATATAGCAGAGAGCAATAAAAAGTTTGAAATCGAAGTTAAAAACTGAATTTTATAGATCATTTTTTTCTCTCTTATCGATTGCAGATATGTTATGAAAAATAAAGAAGCCTTTGAGTTGTATTTAACAATAATTTCCAAAGAGGAAATATTCAATTTATTAATTATTGTAAAGAAATTATGTTTTTTACTAAAGAAAATTATTCACAGCAAGGCACAAGTATTGTTCTATTATCATTTGTTCTGAATTACTAAAAGAAAAGTTTTGCAATTATTATTCTTAATATTAGTATATGTGATAGATCAAAATTGAAGTTGATACAATTAGAAATCTCAAGAACTACACAAATATATTGTTTGTGCTATTAAATTGCTGGTCGTACGCGAAGTTTTTTGCCATAAAATAGACAAAAAATATTATCGAATATCAGAGATAATAGTAATCAATATTGAAATAAATTAATGAGTCAGTAGCTTCTATTTTACTATAATAACAAGCTCATATATACCAGGCTAGCAAATAACATCAAAAAAATTTTCATAAAATGGAACAAAAGTAATATCATGCTATCATTAACAATATAACAGAAAAGAACAATGATTAAAGAAAATGACGAACAAAAAATGCAACGTTTTTTTTATGTATCCATCAATCATAAAATATACGTATTGATATTTCAATTGTAGTCTCAAGAAACCTTGTCAAGTCTGTTTAATAACATCAAAAATGTAGAAAAGATCCAAAATGTGAAATGATCGATGTTATATCGAGGGGAAAACAGCTAAAATCAGATTTTTTTTGATTAAATTGATTTTTTTTAATTGAAAAAAATCGAACGCAAACACTTGATTATTTTGATTTTCTGCTAACTTTCAGTCGAAAAAAAAATTAGTGTAATAAAAACTTCAGAAAAATTAAAAACATTACTTTTTTGTAATTACTATAGCAGATCTCATTCTCTAAATGTAGGAACTATCTTCTTCTTACAACCAAGTTCTACTCACAGACTTTAACTATAAGAAAATACTTAAAATCAAGGCACAAAACATTCAAAGCTACACCTTTTTGAAAAATTTATTGTTTTCTCTTGATTTAAAATTGATCAATGTTTAAAAGAATCAGCTATTTCTTCTTTGATAATCAATATATCTTGGCAAGTAAGACGATAGAGCAAAGAGTAGTATTCGTCATAATCGGTGGATTATTGATCTCTAGACGAATAGAACCAAAAGAAAACCAGTATAGTTATTTTCAAATTGATTTGATTTTATTCCTACTAGATATTAAGATACAAATTAAGGGATGATTTGAAGATAGCATTCTTTTTGAATTAGTATGATTTTTTTTCTTTTTTATTCAATGGATTTTTTGTCACAAGAGAACAATCAATAATCGAGACTTTTTGAAACATATAATGAATGTTTTTTTGTTGGTTTTTATAGTAATTTCTTAGTAAGAGTTGACAATAAAATATAAGCAAGATTCTTGTGTAGCAGAGATGTGTATCGTCCGTTCTCTAGCAGCAAATATGATTCATTTTTTGGTGATCAGTCCTCGTTAGTTCTCTTCTTAAGTATCTTTTAGACGACTGTGGTGTTATCATACTAGCTTCTGAATCCTATTGTTAGGACCTTTTCACAATAGAATGTATAACAAACCATGAAAGTTAGCAGAAGAGATTTAGTCGTTAACCAACTCGCTCTTAATGGAATAATCTTCGTTTGATTATCTCATTTTGATACTCATCTACTAAGTTTACGAATTAAATCGTAACTAATTTTGATTGAAAATTATCATCATAAGAAATCGATCTAACTCAAAACTTAGTAAATTTCGTTTTGATGAGCATAATATCTAAATTCGTCTTAAATCTAAGTGAAAATTTAATTACAGAATAGGTTAAAATTGAAATGAACATCCTATAAGTATATATGTATCATCCACCCTCATATTTATTGTTCTTAGATGAATGTTGAAAAATAAGACATTATTTTTTAAGAAATGTGGATTATTCTTCAATATATATTTCGATTTTATGGTGCACCTTAAATCATGTTATTAGATTCAAAGTTCATTCAGGATCAATAAAAGTTTACTTTCATCCAACTGAAGCAGTGAGAGTTTGTTAAAAATTACATTGTAATACGTAAATTTGTTTTTGTATATTTTTTTCTACATATTCGATTCTTCAGTTGGGGTGTGATTAAAAAAACAGAAAAACATGTTTACATCATTCTTGAGTATGGATATAAATTCATTGTTCTTATGAGATTCCACTATGACACCGATTTTAACAATAATCAAAATGTTCATACTTTACAACAGATATTCTGACCGTGTTGTTTTTCTTTTTCTTACATGCTTATGGCTTTGTATGTCATATTCAACTAATAACGTATCAAGACAATGAAAAAAATGAATGTTGTCAAACACCTGTACAGAATACATGATAGAGAAGGATTGAAAAAAAAGGATACCTTAAAAAAATATTTTCAACTTCAATTCATAAACAATGTGAAGACTTTAGTAATATTATTTTATAAAAGAACAGTTGCAATTCTTTCGACCTATCATTATTATTTTATTAGGTGTAGAACAACGAATATAGAAAATGTCAAATCAAAGAACAAAAACTGGAGTAACTGTAGTTCCAGTTTCACGAAAACATATTTATTCAGGTATTCGCAGAAAACAACGAAGAGAGGTAAGTTATTTGAGATAATAAATCTTGATTTGCTGAGATTTTATTCTCAAGATGACCGTCAAAGTGGCACCTGTCAATAGACATTCATTAAGCGGAACTAAAAGGATTCTTTCAATACTACAAAATGATAATAAAAATGGCAAAGAAGAACAGGTAAATGACATCATCTCAACTAAAATCTATTAACTTATAAAAAAATATTCTATCAAATTTTTCAAATTATAAAAAGTTAAATGTTGATTATTTGTATGTAATTTTGAAGATCTTTTGAAATTATTTATTTAGACATTGTCTAATAATTCGAATTTGGAAACAATGAAAAGTATGTCGATTCCATTTGATCTATATGAATCAGAAACAAACTCTTCAACTCTCATTAATCCATCTGTCATCGAAATGCAAGAAATTTCATCAATAGATGAAACGAATATTACTCATCCAAGAGTAATTTCATCAACTATAGATAAACATCATCCTGTTTCATCAGTAATTATTCTTCTTAATTTCTAATTTGTTTTTCTTATTATTTTCTTATTAATATAGTCATCATCATTGAATAAATCTCTTACTTTATCTAAGAACGATGATACTTCAAGAATTTTATCGAGAATAGAATCAGTTAAAGAATATCAAAACCAAAAACCAAATCGAAGAAGTCATCAATATACAAATCCAATCATTGAAAGAAAATTAGAGAAATCATCAAAAAATATTGAAAATAATGAAGGTAATAAAAGAAATCGACGTCGTCGTATTGGTACAATCTGTTCAGCATGTTCCAACTGTTGTTGTATTTCAACAATTATTGGAATTTTATTATTACTTTTTGGTATT